GGTTCCTGGTTGGGATAGAAAGTGCTGGTACCAGAGAGGGAAGAGGAAACTCCTGTGATAGATGCATGAAGTGCAGTCTCATTTGGAGCCAACAGCTGGGCCAAAGAAGCAATATGAGCTGTCAGATACAAGAGGTCAGTTTGAGACTGTGGTCAAGAATGAGGCAAGAGACCAAAAGAAACAGGTCTGGAAACACAGTGGGAAGTAGGATGGCTTGAGAAAGTTCAGTATACAAACTGAACAGCCCAAGAGACCAAAGCCTTGTTTTCATTGGGTGCTGGTCACATGACAGGGGGCTAGGCAACCAATCAGATCACTTAATAGTATAAAGCTGGGTTGGAAAAAAATAGGCAAATACTATAGGTCTACCTGGGCACCTGGTCCAGAGAGGGCATCCACTGAAGTGAACTGCAGGCAGGAAACAGAGGTCTGAAGGGCAGAAGCCAGAATCCTAGAGTCAGAGAGCCAGCCAGGTGGGCACTAGCCAGTAAGATACACCTCTGCTCCCAGTGCAGATATCCTTCAAGGGAGGACACCAGGTCACTGGACTTGGCAACATTTATTAAATATGAGCCATTGGCTAATGGGGCAGGTGTCAATGCTTAAAAGCGAGATGATGTTTTCGTAAAACAATGGTTCTCAGCCATGGCTCACATTGGAATCACCTAGGATCTATTTGTTTTTTTTTTTGTTTTTTGTTTTTGTTTTTGTTTTTTTAAATGGGAGTGTCACTATGTTGCCCAAGTTGGATTCGAATTCTTGGGCTCAAGCCTCAGCCTCCCGAGTAACTGGGATTATAAGTATCACACCCAGCTCTCACCTGAGATATATAAACAGGTTGCTTCCTCGGCTCCACCGGTGAGTGTCATTTATTTAGACTGAGGTGCAGCTTTGACTTTAGAAGGTTTAAAAAGCTCCTCAGGTGATTCCAATGAGCAGTCAGGACTGAGAAGTGCTATAATAGAGCATTGGGTCCCAGTGAGCATTCATCAGGACTCCGGCCCAGCAGGGTTTTGTTGAAAACTACGTTTCTCACCCCCCAAAAATTAGGGAAGTCATATATAAAGTATACATTTTTTTGCAGACTTAACTAATTCTGAGAAGTTACCCAGTAAAATAGCCTTTCCCCCACTTTATTGGCATAGCATTTACATCCAAATTTGAAGCATATGGTTCAATTAATTTCAACAAATATATATGCCCAACAGTTGATGAACCTAGATAAAGGGAATACAGAAGTTCCTTGTCCTGCCTTTGCGAATTTTCTGTAAACTGAAAATTATGTACATCAAAATTAAAAGTTAAATAAAGTATACACTTGTGTTTCCATTGCCTAAATTAAGAGAGAGAGCATTTCTATCACTCCACAAAGCTCCTGGTGTTCCTTTCTAGTTATCCCAAGACTTTCTCCAGAGGCAATCATTATTCTAAATGATTTCTATCACCATAGCTTAGTTTCACCTATTCTTATAGTAAGTACTAGTTTGTGCCTGCTTCTTTCCGTTGATACAATGTATCTGTTGTTTCGTGAATTATACTAGTTCATGTTTGTGAGGTTCATGTACATTGTGTGAACTAGTGCATTCTCATTATAAATAAAGCTGCTATGAACATTCTTTATTCCAATATATTTTTGCAGACATATTCTTTTATTCCCCTTGGATGCAGCAAGGTTTTCAGTGTGTGTGTGTGTGTGTGTGTGTGTGTGTGTCAGATAATATTTATATAAATATACAGATGCTGAGAAGTTCAGCTAGGAATGGAATTATTGCTACCAGTAGCTATCTGTTTAGTGGTAAACTCTTTTCCAAAGTGTTCATACCACTTTGTATTCCTGCTATCAATGTACAGCCAGTTCATATGTTTTCTGGTGCTTGGTATTTAAATCTTATTTAGTCTCATGGCAGTTGATGTGAAGTGGTACCATATTATGGTTTTAATTGCATTTTCTTGACTACTGTTAAGTACCTTTTCATGCACTTATTGTTTATATATTTTTATATGTAAACTATCTCTTCAGGTCTTTTGCCTAATCTTTTTTAGTCTTCTCTTTTTAAATTATCTTTTTATTATTGATTTGTAGTTCTTTATATATTCTGATATAAGTACTTAGATGTGAGTGCTTTGTCGTATATATGTATTGTGAATATTTTCTCACAGTGTATGAATTGCCCTTCATTTTTAACTATTTCTTAAAAAAAAAAAAAAGGAAAACTGCCAGGTGCGATGTCTCACGCCTATAATACCAGCACTTTGGGAGGCCAAGGCGGGTGGATCACGAGGTCAAGAGATCGAGACCATCCTGGTCAACATGGTGAAACCCCATCTCTACTAAAAATACAAAAAA